TGGCCTTAAACTACGGTAGTTTTTCGATAGAGCGCATTCACACCAATTTTGGACCCTTTTTCAGCGATCACAGGGTCGTTTATAGTCATTTTCAGCCGAATTTGGGGTCTGATTTGGCTCGAAAAATAGATAAGTCGATTTCTTATGTTTTAAGCTTCACAATGAGCCCAAACACGACTGGGCTCCGCCAACTTTGAAATATTCGACCCTACAGTAATCCCTGAAGTCTGTAAAGCTACCGTAACCCGATCAGTTTTGCTCCAAACACAACGAAATCTTGATATATCGATTTCTCACATCGGCCGCTTCAAAATGAGTATAAACACGACTAGGCTCCGTGCATTTCGCAATGTCACCTAAACACGCGACGCACGACCGCGACACGCCTGAAATTTCAAAGTGGGCGGAGCTTAGTCGCGTTTATACTCATCTCCGAAGCGGGCGATGTGAGAAATCGATATATCGTAGTTTTGACAGGTTTGAAACAAATCTGACTGGGTTACGGTACTTTTTTCAGTTTTTGGGGTGCTGCTATAGTGTCGTAAAACTACCGTAACCCGATCAGTTTTGCTTCAAACTTAACGAAACCTAGCTATATCGATCTATGACATTGACAGCTTTAAAATAACCCTAAGTACGACTAGGCTCCGCCCACTTTGATCATTTGGCCATTTTCCGACTCAAAATAGCTAATTTTTCGCTCAAAAATAGCTTTTTTAGGTCATTTTTGGCTCAAAATTCTGCTGAAAGTGGATATTTAGAGCTTTCTACAGTAGTCCGACTCATATTTAGGCTCGAAATGTTGCTGAAAATCGCTTCACCAAGCGATTCCAGGGTCATTTAAACGCATTTTTGGTCATTTTTTGGCTCAAAATTGCTCATTTTTTGCTCAAATTTGCAATTTTCCAGTGCTCAACCTGACCCTAATCGATCTGCCCGGCCTAACCAAGGTCCCCGTGGGCGATCAACCAGCCGACATTGAACACCAGATTCGTGATATGCTGTTAACATTTATCAGTCGTGAGACGTGCCTTATTCTGGCTGTCACCCCGGCTAACAGCGATTTGGCCACTTCCGACGCGTTGAAATTGGCGAAAGAGGTCGATCCGCAAGGGTTGAGGACGATTGGAGTGTTGACGAAGCTCGATTTGATGGATGAGGGCACCGATGCGAGGTTTGTGTGTGGCCTAGAAATGATTGGAAACTGGCTGGAAATGCTTTTTTGGGCGCGTTGGAGCAGCGAAAAAATCGTTAAAAGCGACTTAAAATAGGCCATTTTTGCCCTACAGTACCCCTCGAATCTTTGAAAGCACCGTAACCCAGTCAGATTTGCTTCAAACTTGACCAAACTGTGATAGATCGATTCCTCACATCGCCAGCTTCGAAATGAGTATAAACACGACTAGGCTCCGCCCACTTTTGAGGCTAGAGCGTCAGAGAAGCGAGACACACTGCGTCTCTAACCTCAAAACTCAAAGTGGGCGGAGCCTAGTCGTGTTTAGGCTCATCTCAAAGCTAAGAACATGAGAAATTGATATATCTAGATTTTGTTGAGTTTGAAGCAAAACCGATCAGATTACGGTAGTTTTAGGATACTATAGCAACACCACAAAAACTGAAAAAAGTACCGTAACCCAGTCAGATTTGTTTCAAACTCAACAAAAACAGTATATATCGATTTCTCACATCGCCATCTTCAAAATGAGTATAAACACGACTAAGCTCCGCCCACTTTGAACTATCTGGCGCGTCGCGGTCGTGCGTCGCGTGTTTAGGCGAAATTTCAAAATGGGTGGAGCCTAGTCGTGTGGGGACTCATTTTAAAGCTGGCGAAGTCATAGATCGATACATCTAGGCTTAGTTGAGTTTGGAGCAAAATTGACTGTGTTACGGTACTTTTAGGATACGGTAGCAACATCCAAACTGAAAAAGTACCGTAACCCAGTCAGTTTTCCTCTAAACTTGTTGAAACTTTGATAGATCGATTCCTCACATCGCCAGCTTTAGAATGAGTATAAACGCAATTAGGCTCCGCCCCCTTTGAAATTTCACGCGCGTCGAGGTCGTGCGTCGCGTGTTTAGGTGAAATAATTGCAAAATGGGCGGAGCCTAATCGTGTTTAGGCTCGTTTTGAAGCTGGCGATGTGAGAAATCGATATAGCTAGGTTTTGTTGAATTTGAAGCAAAACTGACTGGGTTACGGTACTTTTTACAGTTTTGTGGGGATTACTGTAGGTCATTTTCAGCGTAAAGTGGCTCAAAATGACTGGAAATTGCTCATTTTTGCAGAGACATTCTCGAAAACCGCCTCCTACCGCTCCGCCGTGGCTACGTGGGCGTTGTGAATCGCGGACAAAAGGATATCGTCGGCCGGAAAGACATCCGAGCAGCCCTGGACGCCGAACGCCGATTCTTCCTGTCGCATCCATCCTACAGACACATGGCTGATCGTCTGGGGACCACCTATCTCCAACAGACACTTAATCAACAGCTGACTAATCATATCAGAGATACGCTGCCGACACTACGGGATAGCCTTCAGAAGAGGATGTTTGCAATGGAGAAGGATGTGGCGGAATACAAGAATTTTGCACCCAATGATCCGGGACGGAAGACAAAGGCCCTCTTGCAGTGAGTTTTTTGAATTTGGAAACTAGCAAAACGAGTCTGACAATGGCTTGAAATGACCCCAAAATAGCTCAAAAAATACCCTAAATTAGCTCAAAAATGGTTTAAATACCTCTAAAATAGCTGAAAATGCTCTCAAAAATGAGTAAAACGTTCTGAAATTGGTCTCAAAAGTTCTGTAAATTACCGTAGACTTTTCCGACTACGGTAGATTTTCGTCAGAGCGCATTTACTGGGGATTTTTGGACAATTTTAGATCAGTTTTCAGCGATTTCAGCGTTGTTTTCAGCCATTTTTGGGTCATTTGCACAAATCAGTAGTAACAATTTTTAGACTTAAAATGGCTCAAAATCGACACCTTTTTATCTATAGATCTATACACTATAGATCTAGGACATCCGGACACACAGACAGAAATGCACACATTTTTTAGCCCAAAATTGCTCTATTTCAGAATGGTGACCCAATTCAAAAATTGCTTGAAATGGCCCCAAAATAGCTCAAAAATAGCCTAAATTAGCTCAAAAATGGCTGAAATACCGCTGAAATCGGTCCAGAACGGCTGAAAATAAGTTGAAATCAAGCTAGAATAGCTAGAATAGTTTACGGTAATTTTGGACCATTTTGGACCATTTCAAAGTCATTCTGACCCGTATTCCGGCCAAATTTGGGCCCTAAATTGCTGATCTGTCTGTAATTTCTGCCCAAAATTGTCCCATATTCAGAATGGTGACCCAATTCAACGCGGACATTGAACGCTCGATAGAAGGATCGTCGGCGAAGTCGGTGTCGACGAACGAGCTGAGCGGTGGAGCGCGAATCAATCGTCTCTTCCACGAGCGTTTCCCATTTGAGATTGTAAAAATGGAGATTGACGAGAAGGAAATGCGAAAAGAGATTCAATTCGCAATTCGCAACATTCATGGTGTCCGTGTTGGTCTCTTCACTCCGGACATGGCGTTTGAAGCGATCGCCAAGAAGCAGATCACTCGGCTCAAAGAGCCCTCGATGAAGTGTGTGGATTTGGTGGTCAACGAGCTGGCGAATGTCATCAGAACTTGTGCCGATACCATGGCTAGATACCCCCGCCTTCGTGATGAGCTCGAACGAATCGTCGTGTCCTACATGCGAGAGAGGGAACAAGTGGCAAAACAGCAGATAGGGATGATCGTCGACTACGAACTGGCCTATATGAACACGAATCATGAGGATTTCATTGGATTCACAAAGTTTGTGCGGGCGGGGTTTTTGGCTGAAAAATGACTGAAAACTAGCTGAAATTGACCCCCGAAAATGGTCAAATTTGGCTCAAAAATAGTTAATTTTGACCAAAAAATACCCAATTTTCGCAAAACACCAAACAAGATAGTGATTGCTCAGTTTTAAATAACCCGATTCTAGCCCGAAAAAGGCTTATTCTTGACCTAGAATTGCTCATTTTTACCTAGAATCGCCCAATTTTGACCTAGAATTGCTCATTTTTGATCTAGAATTGCTCAGTTTTTACCTAGAATCGCCCAATTTTGACCTAGAATTGCTCATTTTTGATCTAGAATTGCTCAGTTTTTACCTAGAATCGCCCAATTTTGACCTAGAATTGCTCATTTTTGGCCTAGTAAATACCGCATCTTGAAGAAAACGCTTCAGAATTGCTTATTGTTTGATCCTTGGCCAATAGAGACGCTGAAAATCGTTAGAAGATAGATTGCTCAGCTTTAAATTTAGCGCTTTTGGTCAGAAAAACGCCCTTGTTTTTTTTGTTGGCATAGAATTATATCATTTTTAAGAAAATTATCATTGCTCATCGTTAAATTTACTGATCTTCGACACTCAAAAACAAAACAAAAATTGATTGCTCAGCTTATCAGTAAATTGCCGAATTCTAGCTCCAAAAACCCTATGATTGCTCAGCCTTAGGCTCTATTCTTTCAGCGCGGAAGCGAAAGCGAATCAACGACAGTCGGCGGCGCGAAACGTTGCGAATCTGGGGAATCAGGTGATTCGCAAAGGATGGCTATCAGTGAACAACGTATCATTCGTCCGCGGCTCGAAAGACTCGTGGTTCGTGCTGATGTCGGACAGTTTGCACTGGTACAAGGATGATGAGGAGAAGGAGAAGAAGTACATGCTCCCGTTGGATGGCATCAAATTGAGGGACATCGAGAGCGGCTTCATGTCCCGCCAACACAAATTTGCACTGTTTTATCCGGATGGAAGGTGAGAGACAATGATCAAAAAACGGGGGGTTTTGACCCTGAAATTGTTGAAAATCGCCCCAAAATTGGACCGAAACCACCCAAAACGTCATGAAAAACGCTGGAAAATCATTATTGGCTCAAAAATGCTCATTTCGAAGCTAGAAACGGCCATTTTTAGAAGAAGTACTATTGCTCAGCCTTAAACTAAGCCTTAAACTAACAATGCTTTATGATTTTTTTTGACTGAAAATTAGCAGAAATCGACGCCAAAAATGGTCGAATTTGACCTGAAAATAGTTAGATTGCTCAGCATTAATTTAGATTAGGAAATTGCTCATTTTTGACCTAGAATTGCTCATTTTGACCCAGAATTGCTCATTTTTGACCGAGAAACACCCAATTTTGAAACAAAGAATCCTCATTGCTCAGCCTTAACTCTACCAAAATTCCAGAAACATCTACAAAGATCTGAAACTGCTGGAACTGGGTGCCAACAATTTGGACGAAGTGGAAGCATGGAAGGCGTCATTCCTACGTGCCGGAGTGTTCCCCGAGCGACAAGTGCAACCGGTCCAAAATGAAGAAGAACAACAGATGACGTCACAGGAGACGTCGATGGATCCACAGTTGGAGAGACAAGTGGAGACGATTCGGAATTTGGTCGATTCCTATATGAGAATTATCACTAAAACCATCAAGGATCTCGTCCCCAAAGCTGTCATGCATTTGATTGTTAATCAGGTGCGTTGGGGGCGCTGAAATTGGCTGAAATTGGGCTGAAAATGGCTGAAAATCGTCGAAAATAGCCAAAAATAAGGCTCCGGGGACATTTTGGAGGCGAAATAACGGTCATTTCGCAACCAGACATTATCCCCCGATACCGTAAAAGTACCGTAACCCGATCTGTTTTGCTCCAAACTCTACTAAATACAGATATATCAGCTTGTCATGATCTGAGCATCGAAATGAGCCCAAACACGACTAGGCTCCGCCCATTTTGAAATTTCACCTAAACACGCGACGCCTCGACCGCGACGCGCCGGAAAAATGAAAGTGGGCGGAGCCTGGTCGTGTTTAGGCTCATTTTGAAGCTCAGCTCATGATAAATTAGTCGCTTTTCAAATTTTCAAGATTAGAGGAAAACTGACTGGGTTACGGTACTTTTACATAAATGTGAGGATTACTGTAGGCCCGGAATTTTGAAAATGGGCGGAGCCTAGTCGTCGAAAGGGTGATTTCCAATCTAGAACTGACCGTTTCGCAACCCGGATGTTCTAGAACTTGTCACTTCGAAATAGGACGTTTCAGAATCGACAATTTCGCACCCGGACGTTCTAGAACTTGATGTTTTGTGGCTGAACTTTTTAGAACCGAGCCATTTCGCACCCGGACATTCTAGAACCGAATCTTATCGAAACTGGACGTTTCAGAACTTTTTACTTCGAAATAGGACGTTGTAGAACCGACAATTTCGCACCCGGACGTTCTAGAACCGAATCTTATCGAAACCAGACGTTTCAGAAGCAGTCATTTCGCAACTGGACGTTTTAGAACTGGATGTTTCGCAACCGGACAATTCAGGACCGATATTTTCACAATCGGTCATTTTAAAACCGTCTCATTTGGCAACGGACATTCTTGAACCAGTCATTTCGCAACTGGCTGTTTTAGGACAGTGACATTCCGCAACCGGACGTTTTAGAACCTGTCATTTTGGCAACTTGCCATTACACGTTTCAAAACGGTTGCGAACTGACTCGGTTCTGAAACGTCCGGTTTCGAAATGTCTTGGACCAAAAATATACCAAGTTATGTTTATAATAGTTTGAAAACCACTAAAATTGGGCTAAATTGGTCCAAAAGTGGTCTAAAATGTCCGAAAATAGGTGCGAAAGAGCTCAAACTGCCGCAAACTGGCTCGTTTCGATCCCAAAAACCAGCCTAATTACTCTCCCAGCCAATCAAAAGCATAATTACCACTAAATTTTTGAGCGAATATATCCCAATTTAGACTTTAAATGGTCCGGAAAAGACACTGAAATCGATTTAAAATGGTCTCAAAAATGGTTCATTTTGACACTAAAACCGGCCTAATTAAACCTAATTACGGCCTAATTAAGCCTAATTACCACTAATTACCCTCTCTAATGTTCTAAGTGAATTCATAAGCCAATATTATGACTTACAGCACCAAAACTGGATCATTTTGACACTAAAAACCGGCCTAAAAATCTGAAAAAATCTGAAAAATCTGGAAAAAATTTTTTTTTTTTGAAACTTTCGAAAAATCCAAAAATTCAGGATTTTGAGATTTTCAGAAAATTTTCAAAAAATTCAATTCTTAAAATTTAATTACCTCGAAATTAAGCCTAATCACCCACTAATTACCCTCTAATTTTTGTCTCAGGTAAGTGAATTCATGAAGGACGAACTGCTCGCTCATCTCTATCAATACGGTGATACGGACGCCCTGATGGAAGAGTCGGCTCAAGAATCGCAGAAACGAGAGGAGCTGCTTCGAATGTATCACGCGTGCAAAGAAGCCCTTCGAATCATTTCTGAAGTCAACATGTCGACGTTGGCTTCGGCAGAATCCGCCGCCCCTCCGATGCCGTCCAACGACTACAGGCCACAGATTCCGAGACAGGCGCCGGCGCCACCGCCTTCTGTGGCACGGCCTGCGCCGGTGCCACCGAGGGGAGGCGCTCCAGGAGCACCTATGATTCCGGCGTGAGTAGATCTTTTGGGTTTTAGGGGGAGGGATTCTGAAAATTCTGAAAAATCTGAAAAAAATCTGGAAAATTTTTTTTTTGAAATTTTCGAAATTCTAAAAAATTGTTAAAAATACAAAAATCTTCTCAAAATGAGGCTTTTTCTTTTGAAAAAAGCTTGAAAACTTAAATTTCTTAAACTTCAAAATTTGAGAAAATTCTGAAAATTCTGGAAAAACCTGGAAAATTTCTTGAACAAAATTTGAAAAAAAAGTTGAAAACATCTGAAAAATTCGGAGAAGTCCGAAAAAATCTTTAAAATCTGGAATAATCTGAAAATTCTGAAAAAATCTGAAAATTCTGGAAAAATCTAGAAAATTCTGAAAAAATCTGGAAAAATTCGGAAAAATCTGAAAATTCTGGAAAAAACTAGAAAATTCTGAAAATTTTGAAAATTCTGAAAAAATCGGAAAAATTCAGAAAAAAAAACAAAATTCCAGCCAAAGCGAATTCGAATTTCTTAAAAATTCAAATTTTCTGATTTTCAGCCGCGTCCCAACCCCATCGAACGGTGCTCCCGAGATACCGGCTCGTCCGAATGTCCCAAAGCGACCATTCTAAGCTTTTATTGCTCCTGCTGGCCTAGAAAAAGCTTTCTAGACCACCTAATATTTTTTTTCGAATTTCGAATTCTCTAACTTTGTCACCCACCCATCATCATCCTAGTCTCCGCCCCCTTTTTTTTTCTCTATATCGCATCCATATTTTTCCCCAATTTTCACACATATTTTGTCTTTTATGGCCCCGAAAACATTTAATTGTGATGATTCCGTTTTTCCCCTTCTTTCTGTTAAAAAAAAATATCCGAAAATCGATATTTTTTTGTGATTTTTGTCCATATAAAATTAATTGAAAATCTCCCCCCACTCCTATCCTTTATTTATATGAAGAAATGCCTTTATTTTCAGCGATTTTTGCTCGAAAACTGCACGAAACGAGAAAATTTGACCCGAAAATCACCAAAATTCGGTCTTTTAGCTTCAAAATGAGCCTAAACACGACTTGTTGGAACCGCCTCCTCCGAAAAACCCCGAAATCGTAAAAGGTACCGTAACTCGATTAGTTTTGCTTCCAACTCAATGAAACTTGGATATATCGATTTCTCATGTTTTGGGCTTCAAAATGAGTATGAACACGACTAGGCTCCGCCCACTTTCATTTTTCCGGCGCGTCGCGGTCGTGCGTCGCGTGTCGAAAGGAAAATTGAAAGTGCGCGGAGCCTAGGCGTGTTTATACTCATTTTTGAAGCCCGAAACATGAGAAATCGATATATACTATTTTTGTTGAGTTTGAAGCAAAACTGACTGGGTTACGGTACGTGTTACAGAATTCGAAGATTACTGTAGGTGGGAAATTTCAACATGGGCGGAGCCTAGTCGTGTTTATGCTCTTTTTGAAGCTCATGACTAGGCAAATCGAATGCTTGTATTTTCACAAAATTCGAGAAAAAACTGACAAAGTTACGGTAGTTTTAAGAATGTGAAGGCTAGAGTGCAGAGAAACGAGACGCACTGCGTCTCTGGCTAGAAGTGGGCGGAGCCTATCCGTGTTTATACTCATTTTGAAGCTCTTAACGCTCCGAATTCGATTTTGAATCTAGTTTTAAGCCATTTCTAACGACTTTTCTACAAATTCCAGAAAAACCAATTTCAACAAAACATTAAAGTTTATTAGCTCAGAAATCGATAAATATCACTTTATTTTTCACAGAAAATCGATTTTTATGACAGAAAAAAGGGGCCATAAATCGAGTGAGAAAATTTCCATTAATCCTCCTCCAGAGCATTTTGCATGTCGGATGGCTGAAAATGATTGAACTGAAATTTTCGAAAAAAAAATTCTTTCTCTAATTTCTCACAAAAATCAACTATTTTTGTATTTTCGACTTCAGATTCACCTCTAGCTCGTCTAGAGCTTCAAAATGAGTATAAACACGACAAGGCTCCGCCCATTTTGAAAATTTCGGAAATTTGACTTTAAAGGCGCATGGGGGTTGGAATTTTCAAAGTGGGCGGAGCCTAGGCGTGCATATACTCATTTTAAAGCCCAAGTCATGACAAACCGATATATCTAAAAATCTTCGAGTTTGAAGCAAAACTGGCTGAGGTACGGCACTTTTACATAATTCAGGGATTACTGTAGGTGGGAATTTCGAAAGTGGGCGGAGCCTAGGCTTGTTTGGGCTCATTTTGAAGGGCAAAATTACCTCCAATCGATTCCGACCATCGAATTCAACCAAATTCTGGGATTTTTCAAATAAATCCGCAAGGAATTGCTCAGTGCCGCTTCGAAGAGCCTCGAGAGCTTGGGATTTGAAATTTTCTAATTTCAGATTTTCGTTTTTCAGGATTTTCGAAATTTCAGATATGAATTCATCCATTTTGATAGTTTTATTGGCGGTGTCCGAACGAAGGATCCGAATATTTTCGATGTCTTCGGAGTCGCTGTCTTCTGAAGCAGGATTTTCAGAATTTCCAGAATTCTGAAAAATTTCTGACACTTCAGAATCCTCAGTAACGTCTTCTGAATACTCGTGACGTCCCAACTGGATATTCAAGTATTCTGTCGCCGGCGGCGTGTCGTTATCGTGACCGTGACGACGGACTCTGGGGTTTTCAGGAATCTGGATTTTCTGAAAATTGAGATTTTGGAAAAAAAACTTTTTCTCTGATAGCTTCAAAGCTGAAAATTCAAATTCAGCACAAAAAATGCTTCAAAATGAGCTTAAACACGACTAGATTTGGGCTATTTTTCGGCTTTGCGGAAATTTATGGATTTTGAGTTTTTTCAACAAAAAAAAATACTGTGGACCAAAAATTTTTCGAAAAAAATATTATTTTTCTGAAACTCCTGGCTTGTGAGTACTCATTTTGAAGCTCTCGGCGAGCTGAATTCATAAACAAAACTCGTTTTCAATTGGAACTAAAAATGAATGGATTACTGTAGCTTTTACCTGCTGCTCATTGCCTTTCGAGCTTCCTCTTTGGCTGCTGTTACTACTACTACGTGGCATTTTTTCAAATCGATTTTTGAGAATTTTGACAATTTTCTAGGAAATAAAAATTTGGCGCTAATAGTGAGCTTGCTAGCTATGCTTTAATGAGAATTCGAGGTTTTTTGATATTTGCAAAAAAAATTTTTAAATTGTTTTTTTAAACTACCGTAACTTGCTCAGTTTTTGTTCGGATTTTTCAAAATGTTGATTTTCGAGATTTTCATTAAAATAACTTAAAAATGAGTATGAATACGATTAGGCTCGCTCCGCACACTTTGAAAAATAAGCTATGCGCCTTTAAAGGCAAAATTTGAATTTAAAGGAACATAGTCATGTTCATACTCATTTTAAAGCTTTCAACAAATTACATTTGAAAATATTATAAAGTTTCGATTTTCAGAAATTTTGGGTGGTTTACGGTCAAATATATCAATCTAGCCAGAATGTCTCTTCCACACGGGCTTTCGATCTCCGGAAAACGTATCTCAGGATTTTCAAATTTGTTTTAAAATTTCAGAGTATACTAATCAAAAATAGAGCTTCATTTTATTGGTTGACAATTGTTTTCTAGCTACTGTAGTTTTTGAGATATGCGCCTTTAAAATAGGTACTACCTCGCTTCAGACAAACTCCAGAAACTCGGCCAAGTTGTCAGAAGTACCTAACTTCCACCCTTATTATCTCAGTTCCTAATGCAAATATCAAAAGGTTGTTAACTTGTGAAATGCTTCCCATTAAATTTTACACATTTCATTAGTCGATAACTTTTTTCTAGCTCTCCTAGTTTTTGAGATATGCGCCTTTGAAATAAGTACTGCCTCGTAGAACAACTTGGAGCACAGTTTTGTGATCTCGGGTAGACAACGGCGTACTTTCTTCACGGAGTAGGTGCCTGATCATGGTCATCATGTCCGTGACGGGTTTTTTTTTCATAAATTTTTAATTCATAAAACTAAAAGACTAGGTTTCTTGAAATTTCGTAATTTTTTGAAAGAAAAGTTTCGGGCCAAAATTTTTCACAACAAAAATAAACATGTTTCCAGTTTTTCAGCTCCAAAACCAAAAAATGTGAATTCAGCACAAAACATGCTTCAAAATGAGCCTAAACACGACTCCATTTGGGTTATTTTCATTTTTAGACTCTGAGTTGCGGTCGCGTCGCGGTTGGTAGGTCGAAATTCAAAATTGACCGAAAATAGTCGTGTTTGGGCTTGTTTTGAAGCTCTGAACGTCAGAAATTTGAAATTCATAAAACTAAAAAACTAGGTTTCTTGAAATTTCGTAATTTTTTGAAAGAAAAGTTTCGGGCCAAAATTTTTCACAACAAAAATAAACATGTTTCCAGTTTTTCAGCTCCAAAACCAAAAAATGTGAATTCAGTACAAAAAATGCTTCAAAATAAGCCTAAACACGACTCCATTTGGGTTATTTTCATTTTTAGACTCTGCGTTGCGGTCGCGTCGCGATTGGTAGGTCGAAATTCAAAATTGACCGAAAATAGTCGTGTTTGGGCTTATTTTAAAGCTCTGAACGTCAGAAATTCAAAATTCATGACATTGTACGACTAGATTCGCTCTAAAACAACCAACAATTGCGTTTTTTTCGGGAATAATGTTGATTTTCAGCATTTTCAGCATGTTTGAATCAAATAAAAGAGAGAAAAAAGCAACTTACAAGAGAGAATCGGCGTTGTCCAAGTTGTCGAAGATCACGGAAGAGCTAGTTTAAGAGTATTAGGAATAGAAATATTAGGTTGGCGGGAAAGTCTTTGTCACTCTGTTTGTTTAATCACTGTTCTCGTATATGGAGGCTGTGTATGATATCGACTCTAGTGAATAACAAGGTGATAAGAACCTTCCATATAAACAAGTCCCCATCTCCTTCCCTGCTCCTCATCTGTAATTGAAACGATATGTTTGTTCCCACTGCTATTCACATCAGACATGTTTTGATTTACCTCTTCCTATCTCACACCACGATGAAGGATTCGGAAACTTTCTTGAAGAATGTGTACAACACACATGCCCCTCACTACAATACTATTCGCAATTGGTTCCATCGTTTCGAAAAAGATGACTTCTCGCTCGATGAAAAGGATCGCTCTGGGAGACCCCGTGAGTTGGATTTGGACAAGCTGAAGCACGCATTGCAATCGGATCCATTTCAATCTAGCCGTGAACTAGCTGTCACATTCGGAGTTCACCATAGCACAGTCCTTGAAGGTTTGAAGTCTCTTGGAATGAGAAAACTTTTTGGTCGATTCATACCTCATCACCTGACTCAAGCCAACCTTGACCGCCGAGTCGACGATTCGATTACTCTTCTCACTCTCCACGCGGGCGATCGATGGCTGGACCGGCTAATAACCGGAGATGAGAAGTGGGTCTTCTACGATAATCACCACAGGAAATCCCAGTGGGTTGGAGAAGGAGAGAGCCCACAGGATGTCCCCAAACCCGACCTTCATCCGAAAAAAGTTATGCTCTCTGTGTGGTGGGGAGTGGACGGCCCCATCTACTGGGAACTTCTGCCCGAGGGCAAAACAATAACTGGAGACCTCTACACTACTCAACTACGAAACCTCAAGAAAGCAGTCGACCGTTCGGCCCTGAAAGACAAGAAAGTGTACTATCAACATGATAACGCTCGCCCACATGTTTCGAAACAAGTGAAGCAGGAGCTGATGGGATATGGATGGAATGTTCTCCCTCACCCCCCGTATTCTCCTGATCTTGCTCCTTCCGACTATTGGTTATTTGCGATATGACACGTGCCTTCGAAGGAAGAAGCTTCAATTCCCGTGGAGCGGTCGAAGCGGCACTCAAACAATACTTTGCCTCACGCCCGGCTGGATTCTACCGCAATGGAATCCATAAATTGAGGGAACGTTGGAGACATGTTGTTGATAATGATGGACAATATAATTAATTATTCGGTTATTTTTTCTTTGAGAAATAAACTATTGAAAAAGTGACAAAGACTTTCCCGCCAACCTAATAGTCAGAAAAATAATGGAAAATTCCAGATCCCATTCAGAAGGGTTCAGGTGGAAAGTTCCGGAGACTTCCAAGGTACCCAAGGGTTCGGATACCTCAGAAGTCTAGAGGAGAGGATAGAATAAGAATTCGGCGAGATGACTTAACGAGAATAACTTTTTTCTATCTCTTTTCGTTTTTAAGATATGCGTCTTTAAAATAAGTACTCTCGTTTCAGGTAGTGCCTTTTTTAAAAGCGCATTTCTCAGGAACTAAAAGAGCTAGAAGAAAGTTGTCAATCACCAAAATAAAGCGCTAATTTTGTTGAGTATACTCTAAAATTTCCATACAAAACGACTAAGTTCTACTGTAGATATTCTACACTGTGTCTGTAGTTATACCGCCCAAGAGTTCGTGAAGTCTAAGCCTGGATGGGTATTTTTATGAACCTGGTAATTAACTCAACGACTTTTTCTATGAAAATTGAATTTATTAAATAAATAAATAAGAATTTAATTGGTCGATTCGGATGACACCATTTTCTCCCGGGAACTTTATCTTGGACTCCATTCGAGAATAATTTGTCTTTTTTTTCGAGAATAATTTGTGCGTATACGTTTTTCCAGTTCCTGGCCCTCCTTGAATACAAACGAGAGGTCTATCTTCATTCATAGATATTCTTACAACAAGAAGCTGCGATTTATTTAAGTTCATCGGCGGTAGGACTCCGTCTATGAGATTCAAAAGCTTTTTTGCTTCCACTTGGAGGTTGTCGACAACACCTTGCAGCTTCAGTGACTCTGGAGCATCATCTATAGTCATCTATATATCTATAGTCAATCTTTGAAAAAAAAAACATACTCCAATATCTCAAAGCTTGTTCATCCCGAATATCAAAATTGAATGGGGCGTGGACGGCTGGCGGCTCCGGCGCTCTTTGATAGCGAACCTGGGGTTCCGGCAGTTGCGCTCTAGGAGTTCGCTCTGTAACAATATCTTTCTGTTGGGAGAAAACACTTAAATTGACAAAAAAAAACAAACCGTAGATGGGTTGCTGAGGGGGCACATGTTGTGCAGTAGGCTGTTCATCGTACCCCGGAGTATCAGCTCTCGGCTCGGGGGAGTATCCAGGAGAAGTGTCAAACGACCAGTCGTATCCCACTTCTCTTTGAAGTGGAGTCAGTTCTCGAATCAACTCTTCTTCTTGGTCTTCGTTTCCAACTTCTCGATGTAGTTGATCTTGACGATCTTCTCCATTTTCTCGAGGAAGCTGAGCGTGGTCGTCGACTCTTGGGCTTCTCGATCTCGAGCGTGCTGAATTATCTGAAATACATTTTTTAGACAGGTAAGCTTAATTTGATCTGATATGATTACGATCGAGCTAATACTATCACAAAAAATGACTCACCATCTTACAAACTTTAATTGAAAAAAAAACAAACCGTTGATGGGTTCCCGAGGGGGCACATATTGTGCAGCAGACGGTAGATACCCCGGTGTATCAGCTCTTGGTTCCGGCAAGTATCCGAGAGAAGCGGGATACAGTCTTGAGGTGGATCCAGTTCTTGAATCCCCTCCTCTTCTTGGACTTGGTCTTCACCATCTCGATGAAGTCGATCTTGACGATCTTCTCCATCTTCTCGAGGAAGTCGAGCTTGATCATCATCTTTTGGGCTTCTCGAATCCTAGAATCGGGGCGAATAGCAGAAATAGGGGGAAAATGGTATACACGTGTGTGGGTTTTCAACTTCAAAACAGTTTCTCTCGGTTCCTGTTAAAGGTTCACCAGTTTGCCACATTCTGATGCCGACTTTAAGCCAATTTATCTCATTTCCTGTAAAAGATATTTTGATAAGCCTGTGTTCCCTGGTCTTAAGGAACGCTTACCCTCCACTTACTTGGATCCCAACACTCATTGAACACGGTGTACTTAATCTTACAACTATTTATTAAAGAGAAACTAAAAGATAAAGTTCAAGAAAGTTAAAGTGAAATTAAGATTAAACTTAAGATTTAAATAAAGTCATACTAAGGGGAATAAAGTTAAAAGACTAAACTTAGGGACTAACAATAAAAGGTTAAATGAAGGTTAAAATGTAAGAATTAAATAAGAGAGAAACCGCAGACGGCTGCCCGTCCGGGTCCTAGAATATACTTGTGTTAGTTATCGAGAGGCGCACCATTAGGCAAGAGGTGAGAGGCAACAGACACGCGGAACGCCTCCCTTGCGGGAAGTGTTCTCCCGCATATCGTTACACGCTCATGGCGTGCTTAGTTTCAGTTTTTACCCCGAGTTGAATACAACGACTTTGGTTCCAATATAGAGTTTATTATATGAAAGATAAATTAATATAATAAGAAATAAGTGTTAATAGATATATGAATATAATATATAAAAAGATTAAATATAGGAGAAGATGTCCCCTCACATCTCCCTCTCCTCTTCCTCGCACCGACTGACCGCTTGTCCGCTTGTACGCCCGAGGAACGCGCATAAAGAGGCGGTCCCTCGGGTAACATCCCATCGCTCCTTAATGTCGATCGCCTCGATCGACTTCTTCGAACTGTTCTCCTTGCCATTGACCATATCTTGACATCGTATTCATTCAAACATTCAGCATCTTGATATTCGAGTTTATCGTTTTGAAATTTACGTTCATCATTGACATTTGCGTTTGACATCTTATCATAGTCCGTGGGATGATCCATACAGTGATGATCTTGACTTGTTTTCGAGTCGTGAGCGAGGTCGAGTTGAGAAGAGCATGATGAAGAGACAGTACACTGAAAATTAAAACGAGAGCGAGAGAGATAGAAAATAGAAAATTTAGAGAAATTGATGAATACATACTACTTTGTCAAAATTGTCTAATTAGTGAACTTAAATACTGACATACATTACTTTGAACATTGATAAACTTTTGAATCGACTAAATCTTAAATAATAAAATTTGAGAAGTTAATAATTGAACTACTGAGAACTTAATAATTAGAATACTGAAAACTTAATAATAAAACTACTTTTGTTTACAATTGAATAAACCAATCATATCCTTACCTTTTGTTTTTGATCCTCTCTGATCTTCTGAGATTGTTGCTGCTGTCGGTTTCGTCGTTTCTGCTTTTGGTCTTCCGATTCTGGAGTCCTCCTCGCTTTCCATTGTTGTTGCTCCCATTTTCATGACGTTTCCTTCCTTTCCTCTTGATTCCATCGATTCTTTTTGAACTTCTTCGATCCGTTCCTGATGATCCATCGTCTTCATCCTCTTCTGACTCTTCTGGTACCTCCTGGGTTTCTTCATCGTCTTCCTCTTCTGATATTTCCTCTTCTCCGCTTCCTTCCAATCGAACATCATCTTTATTCGCAATCTTCCTCTTCTCTCCATCGGCATACTCGACATTGTATCTGTCCACCTTCAACACTTCAAACGGACCATGGAATCGTGCCATCAATTTGTTATTCGGTGGATTTCTTCGCACGAATTTTGCTTCCCAGTTACACTTTCCTTTCTTTGACACGATGCGTTTTCATGTGCCTTTCCTTGTTCCGTCCGATTTGATCCTTGATCCTTTCTTGTATGATGATGTGGAGATCTTGAAGATGTCTTTTAAGACATTCCTCAAAATCTTCAAGGTCCAAGTACGATGAACCAATGCAGTCTTTTGGTTTTGGTCCCAGTTGAATATCTTCCGGCGTTGTTAATTCTCTACCAAAAAGTGCACGATGAGGACTTACTTTGGTCACGGCATGAGGCGATGAATTGATAGAGAAAATGATGAACGGCAATTTCTGGTCCCAGTCGGTTTGTTTGGAGTTTACGAACGAAGACAACGACTCCTCAATTGTTCGATGCACTCTCTCGATGGTTCCGTTTGCAGATTTATGATACGGAGCCGTTAGAGAATGTTTTACTTCCAAAAGTTGTAGAACCACTCTCAAATAGTGTTGACTTGAAATTGGATCCGTTGTCGGTGAGAAGCACTTTTGGTGATCCAAATCGCAGCACCACTTCCTGGACAAAAACATCGCATATTGTTGTTGCATCTTGTTTTTCAATCGGGAATGCCATGACGTATTTTGTGAAATCATCCTTGATTGTAAAAATATAGCGATTTCCATTTGCTGTTATCGGAAAAGGTCCACAAATGTCAGCATGAAGTCGCTCCCAAGGGCGCTCGAGAAGTTCCAGTTGTCCAAGCGGTTCTCTTGTCTCCTGGTGTGAATTGGTCTTCCTTCGTTGACATGCTTCACATCGTTTAATAAATCCTTTGACATCATCCGTTAAATTCTTCCACTGAAATCTTCTTGAAATATTGGCAATTGTTTTCTCCGATCCAAGATGTGCTCCAAGATGTGCAGATTGATGATATTGCTTTATAATCGGTAGAGTTATCGTTTTGTCATTTGGTAAGAGAATTGACAAATTGTTCTTCTTTTTCATGTAGACGATACCATCCTTTTCTTCATATTTATCCACTGAAATTGATTTTCCTTCTTGTAACAGCTTCTGAATCCTCGAAATCCATGGAGTATCTTCTTGAATTCGTTTCAAATCCTCATGTTGTAGTGAGTTTACAGTAACTTCCGGTTTTGTGACGTCAGCGATCTTCTTCGACTTCTCCCGAACTTCTTTTGATTCATCTCCAATGTATCTTGATAACGCGTCACAAACGGTGTTGAGGTTACCAGGGCGATAAACAATTGTTAAATCCAACTCTTGGAGAATTATCTGATACTTCTAGGCACCGCAATGAAAGGGGGCGGGGCGACCAAATTTTTCTCCCCTTTTCAGAAATCCATCTTTGAAGGCTTGTACCGGGCGTTAGAAACCCATTATTTTTTTGGTGAGAACTTGTCCCTATGTAATCGACTACGCTGAATCCAATGAAATTATCAGTTCTTCGATAACTTTATTATTTTGATTCGAAAACTTCGAAAAATAGAAGTGGGACTGACAAAGTGGACTAAAAGTGTTGGATGGAAGTTCGCGCCATTAGATTTTTTAATGGATTCTGATAGTTTTTGAACTGGGGGATTGGATTTTGAAATAAAATCAAAATTCTAACGACGCCCTTGTTTCACAATTTTCAGCCAAAGTTCCAGCTAAAATAAATAAAAAATTTCAGCGATGACCCCAATTTTTTTTTGCATATTATGGTAAAACTAAGTCTTGTGTATACTTCTGCCAATTTTCAGAAAGATTGAATACCTCTAAGTAGTTTTGATACTCATCCGAAAATTCCAAACTTTCAAAATTTCAGTTTTTGGAAGTTTTGAAGGTGACACAGGTGAGCGCCACCGATTTTCTTTTCACCATAAGATTCTACGCAAAATTTGCCACTAAGAGCAATTATAATTAAAAAATTCTATCGACGCCCTTAATGTGTTATACGTCTGTTTCCTTATCTATCATGGAACAACTTGTAAAAAATAGGAAAGAGGCAACACCGGAAGGAGACGGCAGGCAATGAAAAGTCGTCCTTTCCTCACTCTCATCTATTGCTTCCAAGAGAAGTGCAGCGGTGGCAGACTGGTTAGTGGGCGCGCGCACCGATCTGAAGACCGAAGTTCGCATCTCCCATGGGGTTTTTTTGTTTTTTTTTTTCCTTTTTTCAATGGGCCACGGTGTTTGCACAAAACATCAATAAATTATAGTAAAATTTTGAAGTCTGAATGTTATAAACTTATTCTTTTCGTTTTTTTACCCTAAAAACTGCTTTTCCGACAAACCAAGATGCGATTTTGATGAAAAAACAGCGCTCGGAATAGCGCCACAATGAAACCGCGCCGCAGCTAAGCCCCGCCCACTTTTCTGCGCACCGCAAAAAAATGAGGAGAAATTCAGTACATTGAGGTCTGGTATAAAAGGGGCTGTAACTCGGGATTGAATGAAGATTTTTCCCTGAAATTTAGGGAATGGACTTCTATAAAGTAGGAGAATACAATCCAACAATAAAAACTGGGAAAAGTCTATTTTGAAAATTTTGTTGTGGTGCCTAGATACTTCGCTAATATAGGGCGTCACAATGGATGGCAAAAAGTTCAATGTCATCCTCTTGTTCGTTTTCAGTAGCTGGCGAATGCACTACCTTATCAGCAATCTCATCACTTTCCATTTCCTGATCGTCATCATGATCTTCATGCAGGGCAACATGTGGTTGGACCACCTGTAGAACTGCTGGCTGGACTGGCGGCGATGAAACGGAACGGACTGGCGCTCGGATTGGTGGCTGAACCAAATGCAGTTGAACTGGTTGTTGCACTTGCTGACTCCTATTTCTCTCTTCGATTTCTTGATCCTAAAATTTATAAAAATTTACATGTCCGAATGATTCAAACTAACCGAAAGGACAAGGGCCAGACATCGTATGATTTGTTGCGACTTGGGAGATGTACTCATATCTTTCCGTTCCATTCACTCCACTATCGGCGCAGTCCAAGTCATCTGCTCCGATTTTATCGGACTGAAAAAAAAATTAATTTTCCTATAAGAATAGTTATCAAAACAAACCAATGATCCATTTTTTAGGATTTAAAGGAATAATATAGGGAAAGATAATATTCAGAAAAATAAGGGAACTTTCCAGAATTCCATACAGTAGGACTTCTTGGAAAGCTCCAAAAAGACGTCTATGCAGGAAGTCGTCGTGGAGACAATATGATCAGAACGGGGGAAGAAAAGGTCTGTGTTGTCTCTGCGTCCCTCCCCTCTCTTTCTTTTCCGTCTCTTCATTTTGTATTGTTCTCTCGCTCTGTGCCTCGTTGTCTAGCATCTAGCTGCCCCAGGAGAGAGTGAAAGGTAATGTGCGTTCTCTTTTCCTATGTATGTATAATATGCAGAAATGGACGAACAGCCCGTTTTTGATGAGGGAAGATTGCGTGAACGAGCCACAACTGGGTTCTCCTAGCAGATGGTTCGATTGAGAGGACCAAGAAGACGGCTAGACACCCAAATGCATCTCTCAAGATGGTCCCTGTTGTTTGGATGTCCGTCTAGGCTATCTGAAATTTGTCAACTGATAAAATGATTATAGACAATATTAGCAACATTTTATCAGTTGATTACTTTTTGATATCTTTTACAGAAATTGCTATAATTAAGCTTAAACTCGAGGGTACAGTCCTGGATATTATTGTTGTTGGCAGCGACGCTTCCGTCTCTCCACCATCCTTGCACGCTTGCCCTGCAACTTTGAGCCAATATATCTCGGCTCCCATAAGATCTATCAAAAATTTGTCAGCTGACAAAATATTACTGATATTATGATAAACATTTTATTGGTTGACTAGCTTGTGACAACTTTTACAGGAACCGAGATATATGGGCTTAAAGTTGACAAGTCGGTACTTGCCTGCTGACCTGCGCAGACCTCATAACTTTGAGCCATTAGATCTTGCTTCCTGTAAGAGGTATAAAAAATGTGTCAACTAATAAAACGTTACTGATATTATGATAAACATTTTATCAGTGAACACATTTTTGATAACCTTTACAGGAATCGAGATATATTAGCTTAAACTTGACGAGTCGGCGCTTGTCTGTTGAGCTCCGCGCGATCGGTTATCTACACTTTCTTTGATCCAATTGATCTTGCTTCCTGTAAGAGATATCAAAAAGTAGTCAAATGATAAAATGTTCATCGTAATATCAGTAGCATTTCATTTGTTGATTACTTTTTGATATCTTCATCAGTAATCGAGATATATTGTCTTAAAGTTCACAGTGTCTCTATTAGAGACGAAGGCTCCGCCGGCGGCTGGTAGGCGACTGACTGACGGCTCTGAAAACATGTTATAGACTTGAATGCCCGTGGGAACATTTCCCCAGTTTCTGAAATACAGAAAAAAATACGACATCGAGATAGTTACTAATTTATTTTTTTAAAATAGGTTAGGATATAATTGTGTGAAAGATAAGGTCTGCATATAATGGTGAAAACAATGAAATTAGCGCAGTTTTGATAAATTCAATGATTGACGTTGAACAAAGCCAGATAAATCTTTGGAAAAGTTGTGAACGAATAGTTGGCTCATCACTATGTTGTTTACTGTGCAGTATAAAAATCTTGGAAGCTTTCCAATCAACAGGAATGATATGAAAAAAGCAAATTAAGCATTACATTTTGGTAGAACTTGAAGCATAGTTCTTGTTTCAAATGTATGACCAGTTATCCGCATTTTGGAACTTATAGTCAGAACCTTCTTCCCTCTTGTTTCCTGTACGTGCTGGTGGTGCAGGTCTTTCAGCTGCTGCCACATGTGCTACCGGACTATTTTCCGTCTCGTTTACCGGCGTGTTGTGGTTTCTCGGAGCTTCTTTTACAAGGAGTTCTTGCACAAGCTGAAGAACGCCCAAACACACCCAAGAAGTGTAAGGAGCAATTCGAAACACCTCCATCTTTCCGGATTAATGGACAACGAGTCGATTGGACTGAGCTTCTTCTGAAAATTCCTAAATAAAAATTGTGTTGCTCGCTTCTTTTATAGTTTCTACCAGGCATTTTGAAACTAAAAATACCGCATATCATATTTTGAAAATCAGGATTCATAAAGTCCTTCTCAAAATGAGGAAATCACAAATATTGAAATTGGAGGTACGAAAATGGAAAATCCTTGAGAATTTTTCAACTTCAACTTTTTGGTCACATTACGTTTTGAAGTTTTTCAAATTGTCGAAAATTACAAGTGTCTAAATATCGAAATTTCCAAGTTTCCAGATTTTTCTGATAGAATCCCGACTAGTGCACTTCGAGCTAAATTATCTCGGCTCCTGGGAGAGATATCCAACTGTAGTTTACTAATAAAATGTTTATCATGACACCAGGTACATTTTATCAGTTGGCAGATTTTTGATATATTTTATAGGAGCCGAGATAAATAAGCTCAAAGTTGACGGTCGGTGTGCAAGCGGCGGCGGCGACTACTCAACTTTGAGCTAACTTATCTCGGTTACGGTAAAAGATATCAAAACGTAATCAACTGTTAAAATGTGTATCATAATATTAACTACATTTTATCAGTTGACCACTTTTTGATATCTTTTGAAATAGCTGAGATAAATGGGCTCAAAGTTAATGATCAGGATGCAAGGGTGGTGGATCACCTACGGCCGGACGGCGGGTACACAACTTTGAGCCACTATATCTCGATTTCTGTGAAAAATATCGAACAGTTGTCAACTAATAAAATATTGCTGATATTATGGTTAACATTTTATCAGTAAACAGGTTTTCCAATTTCAAAAATTCAGGAATTTTCGGAATTTTCCGTTTTTCCATCGCAAAAGAGCGAAAGGTTACTGAAAACTCGAGACGCGCAAGGAAACTATTTGTGTGCGCCTTCGACATACCGTACTCTAAAACCCTTTTATTTTTTAGAATTTTAGAAATTTAAAAACTCCAAAATGTTGTGTAAGTCAGGCTTTTAAATTGAAAATAAAGACGAAACGACATTCTCTAATTTGTGTTTTCCCTTATTCAAAAGTTTTTCGAAAACAATTGCAGTCAGCTTTCGGATGAGAAGCAAACATGAGCAAGCCTTTTGAGGGGTTCGCTCTTGGGTCATCCCTTTAGCAACCAACCTCCAATCTTGGCGGTAGATGACACTGCTCCAAATCTCAGGGCTCCTCCTCGTTTTGGTCATTTGATTCCACCAAATTTCCTATCCTGGACATCAATGGCTTTTTGAAAGTATCTTCGGATGTTGGTTAAGGTTTCAGAATATCCATAATAACCAGTAGAATATAAGAAGAGTAAGGGATGATTTCAGGAAAATAGGGATAATAGATAATCAATAGAGGGATAATAGAGATAATATAGGGTAAGATAACAATCAGAAAAATAAGGGAAAAGAACTTTCCAGAAATCCATGCAGAAGGATCTCTTGGAAAGCTCCAAAAAGACGTCTATTCTGGAAGTCGTCATAGGGAGGCGAGTGAGGAGGGAAGAGAAGAGAAGGTGTCTGTTGTCGGGAGGGACCGTCTCTTGATTTCGTGTTGTCTCTCGCTAATTGGCATTTGTCCTATCCTGCTCAATCTAATGACCAGGTGTACCAAAAGAGACAGGAAATGGGGGGAAATTTCCTCTTTTCCTATGAATGAAGAGCAGGAATGAGGTGAATGGGAGGGTTAGTTGGCTATGACTGCTAGTTGTCCGACCGTTGACTTTGAGCCAATTTATCTCTGCCCCTGTATAAGATATCAAAATTTTGTCAACTGATAAAATGTTTATCATAAAGTCAGCAACATTTTGTTAGTTTCCAAATTTTTGATATCTTTCACATAACCGAGATAAATCGGCTCAAAGTTGAGTAGCGGCCGCCCGCCTTGCATCCTGATCATCAACTTTGCGCCCGTTTATCTTGGCTCCCATAAAAGTTATCAAGAATTTGTTAAGTGATAAAATTTACCTGATGTCATGATAAACATTTTAATAGTGGACCACTTTTTGATATGTTGACTTTAACCAAGATATATGGACTTTAAATTGGCAGTACAACTCTATCAGAGACGGTGGCTTTCACGGCGGCTGGCTGGCGGCTCTAAAAAGTACATCTCCAATTTCTAATTTAACTTCTAAAATACAAAAAAAGACGTCGTCGAGATAGTTACAAATTTATTAAACATAGAAGGAATGTTTAAAATAACACAAAAAAAACAAAGGTTCTCCAAGCCTGCGGAAAAACTCATTATGACCTGTTGAAGCTCTTGACGCGGGAAATTAAAATATTTTAAGTTTGAGATTACAGAATTTGATTTTAAAGCAATAATTTATTCAGAATAATAAAGAAAAAGCAAAGGATTAGCATTTTTGCATGGCAGGCACCATGTTGATAATTAGTGTTAAATTCAAAAACTTTGCATGAAAATTCATAAGGTTACGGTAGTCTGAATGACGCCAGAACATTCGGACAGCACCTAGTCAACTTCGACGCTCTGTAAAAGTACTCCAGATTTTCTAGATTTGTCTGAAAGTTGAACAGTATACTAATCAAAAGTTGAACTTTTTTTAATAGTTGACAACTTTTTGCTAGCTATCGTAGTCTTGTGAGTACTGCGTCTGAAGCGTTTAGCGAGACGAATGCGATGACGTTAGGTGTAAGTGCGGCAGTCCAAATTTAAAGGCGCATGGACCAAATTTTTACAATGTTCAAAAACCCAAGCCTTGTTTATACTCATTTTGAAGCTAATTCCCTGCTGATTTTAAATTTCTAGTTTTTTATCAATTTCAGAGATATCCAACGCCTTTCTCTCGATATCATTGGAAAATGCGCATTTGCAATTGATAGTGATTGTCAAAGAGATAAGAATGACCTTTTTTGCGTTCAAGCTCGCAAATTCGTCTCTGCCGTGGATATTCGGAAAAGTTGGATTTTAACTGCTTCGTGTGAGTTTAAAAATGATGAAGT